ATTCTTTATTGCAACAACCCTGCAAGTTTGAAGTGGGAAAGGAAACACTCAGGACAATTAATTCAAATACAAGCATGTAAATTAACAGCACAACGGATGTGCCTGCCAATTGCAATAATACTAAGGTGAAATTTACTGATATGTCAAAGTTGAAACCCTCAATTTTCTGAACCTTCCAATCCAAAAATCATTTCCCTCCCCTTAGTAGGCCACAGACTGTAATTTTATTTTACCTCCGATTTCTTGAACTATCTGATTTTTCAAACCAGTTTTTGTTTCCCTTGGAGGTTCCAAAAACTGGGATTTCACTGTATTAATCAAGGTGTGAATCTTATGACAGAGTGGCAAGGTAGGAAAGCAAAATAATAACCATATTGGCATAATTACGCCTAAAACTGATCAAAGACCATACTATTTAGATCAATTCAAATTATAAATCCACCCTGAACTAACTTACTGCAATCAACTCAGTATGTAAATTTTATTATTGCACCTACACTGTACAAGCACATTGAACTTTGCACATTGTTGTAAAGTTGTGAAAATGTCTTTAAAGTCAATGCTCTGACATTTTTTGGCAGCAAATGGGAACTTCTGATGTACATGAGGTCAGATGTGTGTACTTTTGAACCTGTGGACTATTACATGACAAAAAGTGTTTTTCCATATATAATTATGATTACAAATTTTAACTAGGTAACCACGCACTTTCTTTCTGCAGGTTTGTTTGAAATGATATGGAACCAAATTATAGCAAGTAAGTAAGTAAGTAACAACTTTATTTACAGAGGGTAGCACATAACAGTAGAAAACTGACGAACCAGTGGCCCTCTATTCTAAGTTAAATAGTTATTAATAATAAACTAACTTTTTTTTTTCCATCCAGCCTTCTAGGAATACATTCATATTTTTAATACTCATACCTCATGATGTTCTCAGCATCCTCCTCACTAGGGTCTACACATTCTCTGTTACACAACACGATGCAGCAATCTGCCATCTTCATCTATATGTACATCAAGACAAATTCAATTGGTGACAAGTTCTATTTAAGCCTGCTTTGTAACCCTTGGTAGCTCAAAATTAAAAGAAGTTACTTATTGCAGAAACATTGTAGGGTACTAAATATATTTTTGGTGGAGCTGTGGTGTTCTTATATGGTTGATAAACTCACCTCTGCATTGAGCTGTTTGGGTTTGAGCTCTGGCCAGGGACATTGTGTTGTGTTCTTGGGGAAGACATTACAGTAACTCTCACAGTGCCTCTCTCCAAGGTGTATAAATGGGTGCCAGCGAATTTAATGCTGGGTGATAGCCCTGAAATGGACTAGCATCCGATCCAAATTTCTGACGAGCACCCCTGTTCTTTTTTTATAAGGGAGTCCCCCCCCCACCCGGGGGGGGTAAAAATTCTTGTAATTACATCATGCTTCTGAGACCAGAGATAGACGCTGGAATGATGGGTCACTTGGCTTGTATGAGGACAAAGGTCCAAAAGGTCCAAACTAAGTGACCTAATTATCTTGCTCTCTGGGTTGATTGACTTTCAGTGCAAC